TGATAAATGCTTAACTATGTTCCCCAGCTATATGATATATTTACATGACATACGGCATCAGAGCATTTGATATCATAATCATTTTTTATTTGAAATGGACACATATCTCTCCGATACATTACTTCTAAATGATTAAATACAGGACCATGATATCCTCTGTCGCCAAATCCCACCCTTATTTGCACGTCTCAAACATACGTAAAGCGTGAGAGCAGAGAAACTGTCACACTCACCTGCCTGCTCGATCGTCCACACCTGCCCCGCATCCACAATCAGTCACTCTCCTGCCTTCCACACCTGCTTCGCATTCACAATCAGCCCCGCTACATAAGCACTGCACACCCAGCCTGTCATTGCCAGATTGTTCTTCGCGTCATGCAAGTCTCTCCAGCACTCTACCTCGGACTGATCTCCCGGTTTCGACCCTGCCTGTTCCCGACCCGTTCGTCTGTCTCCGCCCCGGTGAGCACGTCAGCCTTCTGTCCCCGACCACGAGTCCTGCCTGAGCGCCTCGGGTTTCTGTTGCCTGCCCCTTGGACTGCCCGGCGCTTCTGCCCTTGTGCTCCGGATCCCCGACCGGCCCAGCGATCTCTTTGTGCCCGAACGCCTGCTGTGAGGCCGTGTTCAAATAAAGCGTTAACCGAACACTCCGTGCCGTTGTGCTGCATTTGGCTCCGCCACACGCTCGTGTCAGTACAATCTGGCCACAAGATGGAGCCAGCGCACACCGGTTCACCACAGCAGCGCTTGGAGAGAGTCGAGGGCGCCCTCGTGCAGCACGAGGCGATCCTCACATCCACCCTGGCTGAGGTGCGCCAGGCGACAGCCGCCAGCCAACAGGCCAGCGCCACTCAGGAGCAGACGTTAACCGCCCTGGTCGCCCAGATCCAGCAGCTCACACTAAGGATCTCCCAGACGAAATCACAGAGCCCTCCAGCTGCACCTCCCGCAGCTGTATCTCCGCCGACTCCACCCGGCCCCGCCTTCGAACCCCGGATAGGAGCTCCAGAGCGCTACGGCGGAGACCCTGAGAGCTGCTCTCCCTTCCTGACTAACTGCTCCATCCTCTTCGCCCTGCAGCCCCACACCTTCGCCTCTGAGGAGGCCCGGGTGGCCTTCACCATTAATCACCTCACTGGGAGGGCCCGTCTGTGGGGAACGGCGGAATGGGAACGCCAGACCCCCGCCTGCAGGTCATTCCAGTCCTTCGCCGCCGAGGTCCGAAAGGTTTTCGGCCCACCAGCTCTAGGCCCAGATGCCGCCGGCGGTCTCCTGAACCTCCACCAGGGAGACCGTGCGGTGGCAGATTACGCCATAGATTTTCGCACCCGAGCCCGCCAGAGCAGGTGGAACACCGAGGCTCAGTGCGATGCCTACCTGCGGGGCCTGGAGGACTATGTAAAGGACGAGCTGGTGTCCTTCGACCTACCCACCTCCCTGGATGAGCTCATAGAGCTAACACAGCGAGTTGACCGACGCATCCTTGCCCGGCAGGAGGAGAGGCGGCAGGGAGGGGCTGGACGCCTCCAACCCCGCCGCAGCAGTCCGCCACACCAGGCTTCATCCCTTCAACCTGGACCCCTGGTGGAGGACCCGGAACCCATGCAACTCAGCCGGACCACCCTGTCTACCATGGAGCGCCAGCGCCGGCGCAGACTGAATCTGTGCGTGTACTGTGGGGGAGAGGGACACTTTGTCTCCAAGTGCCCGGGAAAAGCCAAGGCTCACCAGTGATTGGGGACGCACCGGTGAGCCCTCCTTCCAAACTGTCCCCCATCAAGAGACCAATCTGCCGCTGCCGCCTGCTGGTGCCAGGGGGTTCCCACACCCTGGCGGTGTTCATTGACTCAGGGGCCGACGTATCCATTATCAACAGCGAGTTAGCCCGGCAGTTGGGGATTGAGAGAGTGCCTCTGCCTCAGCCCGTGCCCGCCAATGCCCTGGATGGTCACGCCCTCGGAATGGTGACCCACCAGACTGTCCCTGTCCAAATGCTGCTCTCCGGGAACCACCATGAGTCAATTTCTTTCCACATCCTGGACTCAACTCGGATCCCGCTCCTCCTGGGGTTCCCCTGGCTTCGCCGTCATAACCCACACATCGACTGGGCGACAGGGTCCATCCTGGGGTGGAGCACAGCCTGTCATCAAGTCTGCCTGAAACAAGCCCTCGTCCCCCAGCCTCCATCCTGCCCCACTTCAGCCCCGGACCTGGCGGGCGTCCCGGCTGAGTACCACGATTTCAAAGAGGTCTTCAGCAAGTCAAAGGCTGCCTCCGCACCGGCCGTATGACTGTGCCATTGACCTCCTCCCTGGCACTAGCCCTCCCCGGGGCCGCCTCTACTCCATCTCGGCCCCAGAGAGAAAGGCAATGGAGGATTACATCAACGACTCTCTGTCCGCCGGCATCATCCGTCCCTCCTCGTCCCCGGCTGGGGCTGGGTTCTTTTTTGTCCAGAAGAAGGACAAAACGTTGAGACCCTGCATAGACTATCGGGGCCTCAATGACATCACGGTAAAGAACCGATACCCGCTCCCCCTCATCTCCTCAGCGTTTGAACTCCTGGAGGGGGCCACTGCTTTCACCAAACTGGACCTTCGAAACGCGTATCACCTGGTCCGCATCCGTGAAGGGGACGAGTGGAAGACGGCTTTCAATACACCCACCGGCCACTACGAGTATCTGGTCATGCCCTTTGGCCTCACCAACGCCCCAGCCGTCTTCCAGTCCATGGTCAACGACGTCCTACGGGACATGCTTGACAAGTTTGTCTTTGTATACCTGGATGACATCCTAGTATTTTCCAGATCCATGGAGGACCACATCCACCACGTCCAGGCGGTCCTCCAAAGACTCTTACAAAACTCGCTCTTCGTCAAGGCCGAGAAGTGCGAGTTCCATGCCCCCTCAGTGTCCTTCCTTGGGTACATTATCGGTCAGGGGGACATCCGCATGGATCCGGCTAAAGTAGCCTCTGTCACTGCCTGGCCGGTGCCAGAATCTCGAAAACAACTACAACGGTTCCTGGGGTTCGCGAACTTCTATCGCCGCTTCATCCGAGGGTACAGCACGGTGGCAGCCCCTCTCACGGCTCTCACCTCCCCCAAGGTCCCTTTCCGATGGTCACCTGCGGCCGACTCCGCCTTCCAGACCCTGAAGAGCCGCTTCACCTCCGCCCCCATCCTGCGCATGCCCGACCCAGAAAGGCAATTTGTAGTGGAGGTGGATGCCTCGGATATTGGCGTAGGGGCCGTCCTGTCGCAGCGGGCCGCCGACGACCAGAAACTCCACCCCTGCGCCTTCTTCTCTCGCCGTCTGAACCCCGCAGAAAGAAATTACGATATCGGCAACCGAGAGCTCCTGGCAGTGAAGGTGGCTCTGGAGGAGTGGCGGCACTGGCTGGAGGGGGCCAAACAGCCGTTCCTGGTGTGGACCGACCACAAGAACCTGGAGTACATCAGGACGGCCAGGAGACTAAATTCCAGGCAGGCCCGCTGGTCACTCTTCCTCACCCGTTTCAATTTCACCCTTTCCTATCGGCCAGGTAGCCGCAACATCAAGCCCGATGCCCTGTCTCGCCTATTTCTGAAGGGGGAGGAGGAGGGTACTACAGAGGCGGACACCATCCTTCCTCCGGCTCGCCTGGCGGCTGCCATCACCTAGGGAGTCGAGGAGAGGGTCCAGGCAGCTCTGGAGGAGCAGCCGGGTCCCAGCGCCTGCCCACCCAACCGACTCTATGTCCCGAGGCAACTCCGGTCTGAGGTGCTCCAGTGGGGCCACAGTACCCACCTCACCTGCCATCCAGGGATCCAGCGAACCAGAGAATTTCTCCGGCGCCGGTTCTGGTGGGAGTCCCTGAACCAAGACGTCCAGGAGTTTGTAAAAGCCTGCCCCGTCTGTAACCGGAACAAGTCCTCCAACCAGGCTCCGGCTGGACTCCTGCACCCGCTTCCCGTCCCTCATCGCCCCTGGTCCCACGTATCCCTGGACTTTGTAACCGGCCTACCACCATCTCAAGGGCACACCGCCATCCTCACGGTGGTGGATCGGTTCAGCAAGATGGCGCATTTTATCTCCTTGCCCAAGTTGCCGTCGGCCAAAGAAACTGCGGAGGTGGTCCTTCGCGACGTGTTCAGACTCCATGGTCTCCCTGTGGACGTGGTCTCAGACCGGGGACCACAGTTCACCTCGGTCTTTTGGAAAGAGTTCTGCACCCTCATCGGGGCCACGGCCAGCCTGTCCTCGGGGTTCCACCCCCAGTCCAATGGCCAGACGGAGCGGAAGAACCAGGAGATGGAGGTGTCTCTCCGGTGTATGGTCTCCAGCCACCCGTCGACCTGGTCCAAACAACTAATGTGGGTGGAGTACGCCCACAATACACTGGTCAGCTCGTCCACCCGGCTCACAATTCAGCCGAGGCCGAGTCTGAGGAGTATTGAGGAGACTCCTCCAGAACCCCCCCCCGCCGCCCTCGGTGACATCGTTTTTGGGACGTCAGGAGACGTCCCTTGAGGGGGGGGTTCTGTCACACTCACCTGCCTGCTCGATCGTCCACACCTGCCCCGCATCCACAATCAGTCACTCTCCTGCCTTCCACACCTGCTTCGCATTCACAATCAGCCCCGCTACATAAGCACTGCACACCCAGCCTGTCATTGCCAGATTGTTCTTCGCGTCATGCAAGTCTCTCCAGCACTCTACCTCGGACTGATCTCCCGGTTTCGACCCTGCCTGTTCCCGACCCGTTCGTCTGTCTCCGCCCCGGTGAGCACGTCAGCCTTCTGTCCCCGACCACGAGTCCTGCCTGAGCGCCTCGGGTTTCTGTTGCCTGCCCCTTGGACTGCCCGGCGCTTCTGCCCTTGTGCTCCGGATCCCCGACCGGCCCAGCGATCTCTTTGTGCCCGAACGCCTGCTGTGAGGCCGTGTTCAAATAAAGCGTTAACCGAACACTCCGTGCCGTTGTGCTGCATTTGGCTCCGCCACACGCTCGTGTCAGAAACATTCCCCCTCGTGGAGATCAATGTGAGAAACGCCCTTGGTTGTTAACCTCTGCACGTGTTTCACTTTGAGCAGTGAAGGTCAAACATCTAAGTCCAGTTACAATAAGCAAAACACGTATTTGAGTTGCAGGGGTGCTTCAATATTGAACAGTTTGCAGTTCTATCATAAAAATCTTTTGTTTCCCAGCAAAGGGCATCTCATTTCTGGAGAGCTCCGCATTCTTAAAATATATTCCTGCCTTCTTTCTCTCTTCGAGACAGTGGTAGAATAAGTCCTTTGTGTATTCTAACACATTTTTACTCATTTCCTGTCAAGGTGTTGTTTATCCTTTGCTCCATGCTGATACAAGTCGTCATTATCACTTATCTTAGCTTTGTAGTCGTACAGTCTCGCCTGTTGCAGGGGCACCGCTGAAGTCTCACCATCTGTTTCAACTTGAAACGAGCTGCAGCTGAAGGCGGTCGAGATTTGCCGTTTCCCTCTACAGTTGGAATACAGAACATAATTTCTCTTTGAAATCGGTCAGAACTTCAACTCTCTCCGCCTTCACAGGGTGTACGTGCTGACAAAGCCAGTTCATAGAATAGAACGATGGCAATTAATAAAAGACAGTAAGGAAAGCGGCGCAAGCTGAGGAGGGAACGTCTGAGGAGAGATGAGAGAACCTTTACTTCCTCATCAGTAAATCCTTGCTGATGGGCACCGAGAAATCTCTCCCTCCCGAGCTGGTCCTTTTTTTCTTACCCGTTTAATGAGCACACACACACACACACAAACACACACACACACACACACACACACACACACACTTTCACACACCCCCAGATACATACACTCATGTCTGGATTCCGTTACCCGTGTTTGCGGCTTTCCTTCTCTCCTGACGCACACACGCCCTGAAGAGCGGAGATTGCCTCATTCTATCATCATTGGCCTTATTTTGAGCGAAGCGTGTACGGGGACACACTGCATGAAAAGCCAAAGTCAGGAGGAGCAGCGTCTGGTTTCTATCAACAAAGCATTACGTTACGTTCCAAACCTCCTCTTCTGTTTGGTGCTAATCCAACGGCACATTGCTCCACCTGTCATCATGAGAAATATGGTGCGTGTGTGTGTTTATGCGCGCTTGTGTGGAGTGTGTAGCCATATGTGGAGGAGTTTGCATGCCTGTTTGTGCCTGTGTTGCTCTGTGTGCGTACGGAAAGGGGATTGTTGAGTCCATGGCAAGCAGAACTATCTAAACGGTCTGAACAATGGCAAAATCCCCCTGATGCTCACACACAAACACACACACACGCGCACACGCTCGCACAAACACACCGGCAGACACGCTGTTTGTGATCTGGCATGTGATCTGTGAGAACAAACCTCAGAGTGGACACTGTGATGGGGGCGATAGCTGTTGTTTATCTGCAGCTAGAGCTGCATGTTTACCGCTAACACGCAGGTATGTGTGTGTGTTCATATACATGCGTGTGTGCACCTGTGCATGTTGGCATGTGCATCTGGATGGGCATGCACACGTGTGCCTTTTGTGGAACAACAGAAGGCCTTTGGTTGCCTAGCAACCAGATGGAGAAACTTGTATCTACAATGAAAAGAGTTCACTGTCTCGTTTACGACACCCAAAATAACCAAACCTGAGCAAACACACCCAATTCTGAATTAACACACAGATGAACACGCACATAAAGACACGCACACACAGACTGTACAAAACCCACCCACTTAGCACTGCTCTGACAACCAGGATTAACTGCATTGTGACCTTTGTTTTGATCATCTGTATAACGTGTTAGCATCCTCAGCAAGATCCAAAATAACCAAAGCTGTGCAAATACAAAGGCACACTCACAAGCACACGCCCACGCACACAGACACAAACACACACACGCATGTAAAAAAAAGACACGTCGTTGGAGTATGCAAAGTATGAATTATGTTTTGTCCCGTGGACTTAAACGTGTGTGTCCGTGCACAAGAGAAAGCGTTTCCTTTATGTGAATCCTTCTAAGTGAGTTACAGTGTTTACAGTGTCTTACACCCTCCGGTACGCTGCTTAGCTGCTCTGAGACCCATTAAAAAACGAAAAAACAAAACCAAATCGCCAACAACAAAATATCAAGTCTCATTTTGGCAACGCCGGCTTGCATTCTCTCCATCCATCTGTTGCTTTGCCAACGACCTCCCGATCCCTCGACTTCCATTGAGAAAACAAATTGAATCCATTATCATTATAGACAAGAACAGATACAAGGACAAAGAGAATGAAATGCCTTGTATTGACACATTCATCACAGTTGGGATGAACGGGGCAGCAAAGGCAGGGCGCCTGCCGCACTTCAGCGGAGGAAACAAGACCGGGGGAAACTTGGAAGATCGCAGAGCCTTGAAGTGACGCCCACGCTAATGTTCTAATCTTATTCTTGTGCCTATATTTGGATCCCACCCATGTAAATTTAGCTTCACGGATGCCTCGGCGCACCCAAGGCACTCCGGTTTATATCTCACATTTGAATAAGTCTGTTTTTCATGAGCAAATCTATTCCACGATTACACAGCGAGTAATTACCTACAGCTGAATATGGAGGATGAAATCATTATTCACCGTCAGATTATTAATCACTACTGCAGACCCGATATGGCTCCTCAGCTGTGAAATTATAGTTCTACTTTAGCAAACAACAATAATGGACTGTACTGAGAAGAACATGGTGAGAAAGAGAAAGAGAGAAAGATGGAAGGGACTCAACGAAAGGGAGAGGAGGCTGATAGAAACACCACCCTGAAAGGGAGAGAAACTCAGGTGGAAAACGACAGAGAGGAAGATCGACGAAGAGAAAGAACACAAGGAAAATGAGCTTACCGAGCAGCGAGCTGGAATCCTGAGTAATAATTGCAGCACTGGGTCCTTCCATTGTGTGTCTTGGGAAGCCGAATCCAGCCACAGCATATTTCAATTCATCTTCATTGGAGCTATTGTCAGCCTCCTGTTTTTGGCAGAAAGTGAAGGGAGAGGGACAGAGATGGGAAATGGGACGAAGTACTTGGGGAGGAGAGACAGAAAAGGACAGAAAGACATGATGCATGAAAGGACTTGGAGGGCTCTGTTTTTTTGCCACAAATTGCCACCAACAATAAACCTGCTTGGCCTCACAGATGCTGAGATATGATATAATGATCTGCATTTCAACTGGCAAATAAAAATATCTCATCCATTGGACATTTGTAAAAAAAAAAATGAAAGTTTGCCAAATATTTTTATGCTCCTCTGAGTTTGGATGAAAGCAAAATGCATCGACGTGCAGAAGAAACTTCTACCTTCTACCTTTAGCACCAGGTGATCATTCACCTTTAGCTGTGATCTGTAGGCTTTAGCTTCTTTATCTGTTTATCTGTTTACATTGCTGAATCAGTTTGACATCCTGGATATATCCTAGATGACTTCATGGATGGATCAGATAGGCATAAGCATAAGCATAGGACATTAAAGATAAATTACCAAAAAAATCCAGTAGTTTTGTGGTTGGACAAAAACATTTTACCCACTAAGCCACAGGCACCCATAATATCTGCATTACAGAAGTCAATGAAAACACACTTTGCATGCAAATCTGTGTCTGGTCAGGGCGGGTTTTTAGTTGAGTCAGCATGCTTCTTTTCTTCCAGTCTATTTGGTGATGCATGCTACTGGAAACATGTTTGGATAGTAACCATGTCACAATCTGCATGTGTCTATGTGCGTTTGCATTGTTGTTGTTCTTTAATCCTGGGAGGCTTGCTGGGAGCAATGAAGAGCGATGTGTTGCAGAGCAATGATATCCAGGGCGAAGTATTTTACGACATCACTTCTCTGTTGATATTGGAGCTGATGGAACATTGCTCTGCTCATTTTCATACATATTGCCTCTTCTGTCTTCTTTGGATGCAACTTCTACCCAGATCCATCAGAGGAATAAAACATTTTCTTCTTCTATCTTACAATAGTGAACACTAAATGCCCCTTTGAAGCATGTTTTTACAGCTCCAGAATGTTTTAGGTACTTTTTAAAATTTTCACACCTCCAGAGGAACTTAAGAGCAGTCAACTTACAACATCGGCAGCCTCGGGAATCAGCTGTAACCACCAGCGTTCAGCCCTTTTCTTCTCTTCCCTGCACTCAAAACAGATTATTGTATATTCATATCTATGTTGAATATGTATTCCTTCACGTTTCACTTTTTGTGTAGTCCTTTTTCTTGTTTTTTAAAAAGAAACTGTATGTACCGTAGGACAGTAAAGGTAAAGAATGGAAATTCCATGTATGCGTAAGCCAATAAAGCTGATTCTAATCTGATTGTGATGACTTCCTGTAGCGATGCACGTGTGGAAATGGTGCAAATGGGAACTTTTGGGCCCTACTTGCACAAAAGCAAATTGTATTATCATCCAATAGAATTCACAATAAAAAAGTAGATATTAAGAAGATGGTGTTTTGTAGTTATTCATTTATACATCACATGCGACAAAGAGCTTTCCTAAATGCATTTATATAGCATTTTAGGAAAACATGTCCTCCAAAAGAAAAAGAAAAAGTCCCTTCAAAGCTCATACTGTTGAGATTAAGAGCTGAAAGGTTACCAACCCTATTCCTCGGTGTAATCCACTGTAAAGCTCATCTATAGGGACACTTGTGTAAAGGATTACGAGTTGTCATCAGATAACCAACCCACACAAACTCAGAGCTCGAGCACAAGAGAAGACAACATCCCAGGTGTTGACTCTCAACCCCTCGGGCCAAATCTGCAGCTGCAGATAACGGCGTTGCCTCCCCGGCCTGCAGAGGGTAAGAGGGACTTTCCCCTTACAGAATTTGTAAGAACTAAAGGTGACCGTAGAGGGAGATATTCTTATCCGTGAATGATTGCCTCACACTTCCTCTGCTGGCACAAAGCCTACCGCTACAGTTGTTGGCGTGCGGAGAGGACATCGCCGGCCTGACCCGTCATGACACTGCAGTAATACTGTTTCTACAGGAAATAACATAAGGTGGGTGGAAGTCCTTGTCCAGCTAAACACCACCTTGCAGTCTTCCTGACATGTCGGCAGTATCAAGTGTGTTTTATTTAGACACAGCAGTTTGTGCGCTAAGGCTCAAGTAAAGGCTACGGTATCACACTGCAGGGAGTGCATCGAAAATAGACTGAGTCTAAAAGCAGTGAAGTGCTTGAGATCAGACTACTAAGAAGTAGAAACGCGAGGAAATTTACATGAACTACTTGGTTATGGCACCACCAAAACGTGGCTCTTCAGAACAGGTTTCTTATATATTCTTATATTCTTATCAAAAAGAGGGTTTTCAAGTGCTCCATTGTATATATGCATGACTAAAAAACACTGACAGTGCTACTTCTGTCAATTTCACCCCAATAACAATGAGGCTGCATTTTTGTAAAATTGTGTCTTTGCAGCTATAATTAATATTTCTGTAATGTATTAAATGAGAATGTGAAAAAAAGACGGTATCAATGGGAAGGAAGCAGAGAAAATGTTCTAATCTGCGGCTCTTCTCCGCTATACGCAGCGTTTTCAGTGAGATTTAGCTCATTGTTTAGCTGTCCGGTCGCAACCTTGCTCTTTTGATTCTCCGTCACCTCCCTGATAGCCACAGGCAGATGTTCACAAGAGAGATGGATATTTACTCCTGGAAACAGTGATCTAGCAAAGCCGGCACCACCGGAAAACCCCTGTGCACACCATGATCACTGCCATGTGTGGAAGCCTATTTAATGATGAAAATTGAAATAGGCCTGGATGTAATTCCAGTGATGCAAATGGTTTTGTAGCTCACTGTCACTGTGTCGGATGGAGTAGATGGAATAATGTAAACACGATTGTTGTTGGAAGCAGAATTACAGCAGGGCGTGGTCCGATCATGTGAGTGCTGCTAACCCAGTGCATCAAGTGTGATTCTGTTTGATTGCTTCAGCTTTTGAGACAAAGGCAATGCATATTTCAAGCTATATCATATATAATTGGTCAAAAGTATGTAGACAACAAAAAAACACACCTCGACATTACTCCTTAATGTGATGTTGATTGCGAATTTTGGACATTTAATTAGAAAACAACAATTGAAATTAAAATACTTTCATGACAGCATCTCTTCTGAACTTCATAAAACTGCCCCAAAGTATGTAGAGACAGGTGTTAGTGTCCTTGGCAGTGCTCTGGATATATGAATATGAATGAGTTAGTTTGGGGTCCTCATGGGCAGATGGCACCCTGCATGGGAGCCTCTGCCATCAGTGTATGAATGCGTAAACGGGTGAAAGGGAATATACAAATACAAGTCCATTGACTATTTACAAAATTCATACAATACAATCAATTCCAGCGCTGTTTCGTGAGCATTTGCAGCTAACAGCACCTACCGAAACTCCAATATAAACCCTTCGGAGACATTATTAGACGTTATCTCTGCTCCCACAGGCAGACCTATCTCCATGGCGCAGTGTAATACATATTCATTCTGGTGTACTTAAAAATAACGCTGTGGCTTGTTGGTATTTCTTTGAAACCCATCACATGTCGTCTTGGCCGGCGCTAATTACAGGATGCAGGTCCTGCATGTAGAAGAGGAGGGAGGGGCACTGGGGTGAGAACCAGGGGAAAGTGAATGAGACAAATGGGACAAGTAAGGACACAAGATTGCATCATTTACTGATATTGTGTCTTTGAAACACAAGACAGGACACGATCTAAGCTACATTACACAACTACACTTACACAACCAAATTCCCGTGTTTGTACAGTATATCTGCCAGCTCTCATGAGAAGCACAAGAGGAAGAAGAAATACGAACCGCGCAGCTGCGATAAAAATGGGACTTCTAAAAACATCTTAGTCTCTGTTAGTTTTGACTCCTGACTCCCCGCTTCCTACGCGCTCGAAAATACACCTTCCAGTCAAGCCATTTAAAACTGACAAATGGAGTAAAACAGATTTTTTTTGGGAGCCTTAAACAGCTTTACAGTGCAGTAAGTGAAAACACAAAACTAATTACAATCCTACAAGGAATTGAGATGTTTAGTGATTTCTCTTGGTCTTTCTCGATCTCTATGCGGTGCGCAGCAAACAGAGGCGCAGTCTTTTGAGCCGAGGCGGTGAAGACAGAAGTAGAGAGAGAGGATAAACCGAATCGAAGGTCAAGAAATAGATCCAAACCCACAAAATTATAGCGCCTCAGGTTGGGCCCTTTTGAACCACCAAATGGACCTTCCATCAGTTTCAGACTACGGGGAGCTATTTGTGAGTCGGCACAACCATCAGGGGTGAAAAATGTCTCGCTTTTCCCAGACAATCAGCCCTGCAGAGCTCTGACCAGAAGCACAGCAGCACGAGAGGCTCGTCCGGCTGCGCTGCCGTCACCGGGGAAAGCTGCTTCCTCGACAGACATTTAGGATGCTGTGAACACGGGAAATTAAGTTGAATTGAGGAATATGAGAAAACGCATGTCACTGATTCCACAGATGAAGGGAACGCAACGAGGGCTGAGAGATTAGATGATATAAATCAGACATTTTCCCTGGATTCCAAATTCATTAAAACACAAAAACAACATTCGGCCCGTGAGAAGAGACTCGTTAGAAACTCTTATATGATTCATTTTGACTGCTGATCCTCGAGGAATATTAACTGAAATGTTTAAATAGTGTGCAAGGACATGTCTCAAATCCGGTGGTTTTGAACTGTGAAGCATGAGAAATTTCTTCAACATCCTGTAAGTAATTAAAAACTGCAAAAAAACAAAAAAACAATCACCAACTAAACCGAAATGTAATAGAAAACAGAGAATTTAAAAGTGTGAAACTCAGCAAGCAGTCTGGTTTTCCAGCTATGTTCCTTTTGTGGTGTCAAAACCATAATTATATTTCTATTGCAAACCTGACAGCGCGTAAAAACGATTTCTCAAGCTGACAATATGCTTTACGCCGTCTTTATATCGACAGATTTAGTTGATGAGGGACTTCTTAAAAAAAGAAAAGACTATTTCTCTTACCAAAAAAACATACTTTTGTAGTATGGAAACTCGACCATTCACGAGCAGCCTTTGTCTTCACCAAGCTCAATCTGTGCTTTGTCATGTGAGAACTGAAGAGCTCGTTTCTTCTTAGGACGGGAGCATCATGCCTGGAAAAAATAGATATCAAAGATAGAACGGACTATCCTCCGACTAAAGCAAGGCTCAAATTCTAAAGACGTCCACGTCACTTTGACAGAAAAAAATATTCCCGAAACTCATTCAGTTATAGTATATGATGGTACATGACACACAGAAGACAGAAACCCTGGAGGACAGATATGTTTCCCAGCATTGCAGGCAGAGCCAGACAAGAGGTAGTTTATCCTAATCAGGGCCACACAGCCATGAAAAACCCACCGCATTACACCACAACGTACCAACAGCAGACAACATGACACAACTGAGAGCCCACAGCCACGCTGTTGTGTCCCTGCATTGTTTTGAGGGAAATACTATTATCAGCATGCAAAAATGCCCACAATGACAATTCCAACATGATGATATTCGACTAGTTTAAATGTTAGCCAGAGATGAACTGTCGTTTGGTGTCAATGATACATCAGTTCAAAGAGGGGGGACTAGACCTGGAGTCATGCTACCAGCATCGGTAATAACTTTACCCTGCATGTTTCCTACAGCAAGAGCTCTTATCGTATCGAACCAAGTGAAAACTAAATCAATACGCCGCCTAAATAAAGGTGAGCAATACTACGAGCTGATACAATACATCCAGAACTGAGTGAAAGTCACAAGGACGGATTGCAGTTGTGCGTGATTTAGTTGTTGCCTCAAAATGTCAACCCTTGAACAAATTTTGTTCATTACACAGTGGTAATTGATGGTAATTTGATGCCATGAAATCATCACAATACAATGTTAATCATCGATCTGGCAGACAGAAAACTATACAATATTTATTGCTATTAATATTTGTGTTTGTGAAATTGCAAGATGTTTCAAATCCGCCAGAGAGAAAAGAGAAACTGATTGAACCTCTGACAGCTGGTAGGTAAAACATGTTCTATACTATTGGAAATACTGTTGGAGTTATCGAACTCATCACAAACACGGTGCTTCCTGTCTGAAAATAAGAGAACCGTCTCCGCTATCCGGTCCCTGTCATCGTCTAGCAGGTGAAATCACCCCCCCCTATAGGTTTAGTACCCACTTTTGGCATCGCCGACAGATGATGCGACCAACTACCAACTTCTCTTTTCCGGTTTTGGTCCAGCGACAGTCCACCAAGACGCCTCCTGGCACGCCAGCTGGCTGCTCAGCTATTGTCGGGGAGCAATGGCCACGAGGCTCCTCTCTCGGCTGCGTCATGTTCTCCCGCTTTCTTCCCCGTTCAGCGGACTCGCTACGTCGCCACTGAGCCGTTTTAAATCACGGCCTCTGATACTTTAGAGGTATCCGGCAATATGGTAGCACAGTGATGCTAAGGCAGGCAGACAGAGAGAGGCAGATGGGCGCACACACACACACACACACACACACACACACACACACACACACTGAGATACTTGCATACAATGTAGACACACATACACACACAGGCACAGGCCCACCCTGCTACGAGGGAAAGCGTGACTGTGACAGTTCTGCTGTGGGGTTATCAGTGGCCAACAGAGCATGCCCGGACACACACACACACAGAAAACACACACCCGTACAACGCACACACAAACACACACTCAAACCCGAGGGCTCTCCGGTCACCGTTACGTACAGTCAGAGATTGATGGGAGCAGACTTTGCCTCTTCCTCGTCTGCCATCATCCCTCCTGAGCCTCCTTTATTCGCCGTCTTGCATCCCACTCCTCTCTCCTCACTCCTCCCCCCCCACACACACACCTCCTCTACCTCTCCTTCCCCCTGTGATATTATCCTCTTAAGTAAAGCACCCCGATCATTCTTTCCCCGTCATTGGAAACTACATTGCTGAGGTCACAGAGAGAGACAGGCGAGCCCCGTGAGCGTAGGTGCCCACGCGGATGCTGGCGAGGCGAATATGGGTGTCGTCATCCGAGAGATCACACTGCATGAGCTAAAGTGTCTGTCTTTTGCCGTCTCCCTTAGATTTTTCTCCCACTATCTCTGCAATAACAGTTTCGTATTCCCTTCCCCTCTCCACTGGGAGAAAAACATTAAAGACTTTTCTTATAATGAGGGAAACTACAGAGAAAAGACCTAAACTACACACAAACACACGCGCCGGCACACACATAAGCCCAGGCGTGCACACACACACGTGCATGCAGCACGCACACGCACGCTGAGTTGTGTACACACGTCCCACAGTTACGTAAAGGTTACGTAAAAGGCATGAATATTGAAAAGGAATGCTAGCGCTTGGCTGTCATTAAAAGTCTGTTGTGTGCGTATGTGGGAGGGATCGTGTGCTTGCACGTGTGTACGCATTAATGTGTCCGGCGTCATTAAAACACCTAATATTTTATGAGGGAGATGGAGGAAGTCCTGGTGGTGTGAAATTAGAGATTTTAATGCAGGGGGAGGTACTTCTGAGAGGCTGTGGCTTATAGACAAACTCAACCAGAAGTTTTACTTGTACCAATAATCACACATTTTATTTAGATGGCATGTAAAACAATGATGGCAAAGAGCAAAATATTTTTAAACAAATAACTGCTTATGAAGGAATGTGAGTATGCAATATATATTTAAATTCCTTGAGCAAAATCCCCATTTGATAATTGCATTAAGAAGCCGCTGCCGGCTGGAAGGCCAGTGATACCAACAATATGCTGCGCACCCAAATACTGCAAAAATAAAACACTAATAAAAATACTAATCCGTTAAAAGTTACTTTTAAATCCAAGTAAAAAAAACACGAAAACCGTTTAACTGCAGCGCCAAACGATCGATTGGATGAATAAAGGAGACACTTATATGACCCATGAAAATATTGAGGAATAATCCTCAATCTAAATGGTCCCACGGGTTGTTTAAAGGTCCTCTTTGTCTTTGATGTTTTACTTCTTGTCTTGTTTCCTGCTGGTGTGATTGACGGCCCGCCTCTATGAGTTCCACGTGTTCCTCGTCGTTGAGCTGTCACGTCCCCCTCGTTATCTCCTCGCCTTGTTCCACGGCCCTTCATCAGCTTGTCTTTTCTGTCGCGTGAAGTTCTGTTCACCTGTAACCCGCCTGCTGTTCCTGCCTGGCTTTGGACTGATTGCGTGCGAGCCTTCTAAATTATTTTAATAAATGATTGAAGTGAAGTGCAGCAATCTGTTATTCCTCTCTGCATTTAGGTCCGCCTGCTTCAAACTTAATATTGTAACTGGAATCAGTTTAACAACCTTAGAGCTGCAGAAAATGAAACGAAAGTGGAAAACGTTAAAAACAACCTGTTAAGAGGGATGAGAAATGCCAGCACTTTAAAGTTTAATTTTTTTAATGAATTCCTCCTATTGTTTTGATAATATTTATAGTAATAATAGTAAATGTTTATAGTAGGACAAGTAATATATAAATATCTATTTTATCTGGTTCCAAATTGTTATAATTATTACTAATTACTGTAATGAGTCTCGCATGCAAGCAGCTCTCACATTCAATAAAACATGAACTCATAATATTCTGAAAGGTATGATAATATAATATTTAATGTTATAGTGGGGCTTGTTCTCTTTAGCAGTGCAAAGTGCAGTCGAGGGACATACTTCTCTCTGCAGTTTGGGAGCCACGCCTGCTATAATACAGACACTTTGATACAGGCGCTGTTCCCACAGCATAATGTTTGCTTTTACCCGACTACTAACTTTTAGCGAGGGCATGCAACAAAACAAACAGAGGGTTAAAGAGGTTTAGGTGCCGACCCTTATCTCTTTCATGCAAACAGCCTCCGCCTGCTTCCTGCACCCACCTCAACATTTACTTTCTGCCTAGAACAAAAGTATCAGTGCTACAAAGGAACATTTTAACGGCATGCAGCCTCCACATCCAGCCTGGCCCGTCTGGATGATGTGCATTCATGCATATCATCCAGGATTTCATGCCCCCTCCAGCAGCTCCGTTAGCACAGAGTTTCCTTTGCCCTAAATGCCAGCATTAGTTTAAATGTATCCCGGGTCAAAAGGCTTCAACCTCTGGGGATCACAAATATATCTTTAAAACATTTAACAGCGATTCATCCAATAGTCGGACCTGAAACCTACAGGTTAATCTGGAGTACTGAAAACCAGTAGGGCACAGTGAGTTTTCACTATGGTTTGCACTGCTGTCACCATCCTAGCATCCAAGTCACATTTCTAACGGTGAGTTTTTACAGAAAGAAAAACACTTTATTGAGGAAATTATATTCGGGTTACAACCAAAAACAAATGATTGTTTCTATTATTAAGGTTGTCCTACAAATTCTCAAATGTTTAATAATTCTTTCTCGATAGCTGGCCAAGGTGGAGGCAATGATTAGAATAGAACTTGCAAAGGTCAATTTGAATTGCCTTGTTGTTGAAATGTGCTTTACAAATAAAATAGCCTTGCCTTGCTTCAATGATTCAGAATTGTATAACAATCCTGGATATGCTTTACTACAAAGATACATTAGTGTTTAACATGTGAGGTGGACATGTCAATTTAATATTACATTACTCAAACGTGTTTCAAGAGGCACAGAATCTAATGTATTTTCTGCATATTTGCCAAATTATTAATAAGAGTCTTGGTCAAATATGTGTTAAACTTCAGATCAGAGTTAATTTCCTTAAAACATTCCCTAACTGTGTAAGTGCCACTGTTCACGGCTACAAGCCACAGGCGTCTACCGCTGAATCAAAACCCAGCCGCTGGATTTATATAAGTTATGACCCAACATTCAGGGACTTTAAAGAACTCTGCAGCATTTGAAAAATAAAGGGTTATGTAGAGAATGTGGGGAAAAAAAGACTGCTTGCATTTGACTTTAAAAAGGCTTAAACCACATTGAGACAGGTTGATGCTTTCAGCTAAGGTTAACTTACTCTTGAGTCAGCATGTTTTTATGACGTTGTAAGTCAAATTTCATGCTGTCATAACGGGTGTGAATTTCAAACTTCTTTGATATTCTTTTTTGCTGTCTAAGCAAAGGATATTGCCCCGAGGGCCAGGAGCGGCTTCCACTCACTCATTCATGTAACGTTAGATGTGTGCTCCCTCATTAACTTAGTTTAGATGTTGTACCTTTGACAGCTCGGGATCAGCCAACTTCCACTCACACGTTCTGCTGTCTGCTCTGCATTTCCAGCCACATACTAACTCTGGTATCCATTCGGATCTGGACTCTCACTCCTGCTGTGCAGTAACCTCTTTCCCACCATTCGTCACCACCTGACCTCCCCACACACTCACACAACTGTTCCCACCTGTTTTGGTGCCTGGTTATTGCCCTTTTGACTAAATTTATCTTCAACCTGTTTCTATAGCGATTTGTAGCACAGACAGTATATAAGAACTTCTCTGTATCACTGCATAAAAGTATATAAATGTACATATATATGCACATATATGGGACGGGTTACTTATTCTCAACAGGTAAAAACTGTATGGATTCCTCCCAAAACAGAAAGATTGTCCATCAGAATTTTCAGTGCAATTCTGTTTTGGTAAAAACGAACCGATGCTTCCTGTAAACACAGCCAAGGACAATGAAGGGAACCAGAAGTTACGCTGCTAAGTGGATTATCACGGGTCAGGTGAAGGAAATGAAAGTCCAGTCAGGTGCGGCTGGACTGAGCTCACCCCAAAAGATCCACGGTAATCAGGTGCTCGGTGTCCAATTCTCTTTCTCTTTTTTTTCTTTTGATACACTGTTTGATCTTGAGGCAAAAGAGAACGCCTTCAAGTGCTCTCCTTCAAAAGAGAGGGAGGCACATGGAGGAGAGGGTACGGTTCAATGTTTCGATGAGGGCAGTCAGGTGTGATGCAGCAATAATCGAGTGAAGAGAAATAGAGGTTGAACAGGTAATACCGGGAGAGAGATCTTGGAAGGAGGGCGACAGAAGCTTCTGCAAGTGTCAACTCTCACAAAATAACCGCGTGTGTGTGTGTGTTGTTTCATAATCGGCCCATCATTTGAATGAGGAGAGTCACAGACACCATTTGCATTGCAACCTTTAATAAAATCCCTTCTGGGTTGGAGTGAATTTAACGGGGCGGCACATTTTGCTCTGCTGAGTTTGCTCGGCTGTGCCCGTTTTTTCGTTTTTGGTTTCTTGCCGCGAATTTATTAGATGCAACAATCATAACCAACAAAATAACCTCTTGCAAAGTCGCAGGGTAATCTTAGTTGGGATTGCAAATTTATTGTCATAAAAGGTTTGGTCAGCTTGAAGAATTGCGCCACAGCGACCGGTGCAGCATTAAGCTCAGATCCGGGCGGCTTAATACATTTGAAATGATTTACCGAAGCATCTTCAACTGCTGCAGTCAACATCAGCAGTAACGCGGCCTCCCATCGTCTCTCATCACCGCGGGATGAGTGGAATTCATTCTGCCATCAACTGTCCACATGTGGCTGAAGTATATGCGACTGTTTCTATAGAGGCTTAAACAGTAGGGGAGAGAGGGAGGGGGAGGTGGGGGGTAACGCAGAAGAAGAGTGTCCTGTGGAGTCCATCCATCCATCCATTGTCTAACCGCTTATCCTGCACACAGGGTCGCGGGGGGGCTGGAGTCCATCCCAGCCAACTTCGGGCGATAGACAGGGTACAGTCCTGTGGAGTGACGGAATAAAAGAGGAAAATAAAATGAGGGCAAACACTGCAGAGTCTAAATAGCGTTCTCACACGGCGTCGCTCTAATTCCTTTTTTTTCTCGTCAAAAAAAACATTGTAATCAAGTCATATGATTTTACGTATGTAATCACATTTTCAAGTGCTCAGCTGTGCTAAAACAAGTTGATTAAATAAATATATAATCAAGACCAGATTAATAGCTAACAAATTTGATTAATGAATTAATTTCTTGGTTGTATTTGAATGTAAATTACATACTTTGGGTTTTGTACGGTTTGGGAGAGAAAACAAGCAGTTAGAGGATGTTAGTATAGGCGATGGAAATCGCTGAATTTCTTTAGAGTAAACAAAAGAACTTTTGTTTGGATGTCTGCGACTGAGTCCTGCTTCCGTCACCCCGACGTGACAGTCGGACATAGGGGATGCTAATGTCAACAGAGCTGTTTACCTGAGGGGGGGGCTGGAGGGAACTTCAACCGCCATAAGAGCACAGTGCAAAGCAGCAAACTAGGCAAACGGCCCAGAATTACATACCGGAGCAGAAAATAAAAACAGAAGGTAAACGGGCAGTTAATGTTGTATTCAATAATAAAAGTTCAGTTTTATCCCCACATTAAGAATGCTTTATATCTTCAAATTATCCCCATGGGATAAGAGTTTAGCCTCCAACAGGGGTCATTACGGGACCACCGGACTAAGTAAGGACTCTTTCAATCGAGGAATAATTAACAGATTCCTCCATACTGCAGTAACATTTTGTTGAAGCACTATGACTGATTACGAAGATACTGACGAAGAAGACATTTAGTATCAATATTTCAGTATTCATGATTCAATCAAGTCATCAACGTAATTAATCAGTCACATAAGTGAATTGGCAGCAAAGAGTTGCCTGAGGAAGAGATGTGGGAGCAGCCGCAGCAATCAGCTGAACTGTGGACACTTCCAATCTGTATTGTTTGCTATTGCAGCCCCCGATCCCATTGACTCACCATTGTTAATGATAATGTCAGCGGTGACGGGTGTGTGAGGTTTGTGCATGCGTGTGTGTCTGTATGCGTGTTTCACAGTGTGTTTGCAGAGCTTAAAACCCCTTTGTGTGCACGCTGTTGGTGTGCATCTGATACCTCATACATCAGTGTGTGTGTGTGTGTGTGTGTGTGTGTGTGTGTGTGTGTGTGTGTGAGTGTGGGTGTGTGACCAGAGGTGACCCAGTGGTGTCCCTGCTGGTCCGGAGCAGGAACAACACTCTCTGGAGGCGACGCTCATTAATCATCCCATTCAAACGCACAGAATGCAATCCATCCTCCCATCCTCTCCTCCTCCTGCTCCTCCTTCCCTCTCCTCCTCTTCCTCCTCCGCTGCGCAGCACCAGCGCTCCGTAATGGGGTCACTGCTCCCATTTAACAAAGACAGACAGAGGAGAGAGAAAGGAAAAGGGGATGGAGTGAGGGGGGGGGCATATAAAGACAAAGTGATATTAAATAAGAAGTAACGAAGGAAAGACGGCAAGGGAGGCAGAAATAATAAAAAGAGGGGGATGGAGATGGTGAGGAGGGGAAGGAAATAATTACTGAGGGAGGTGTTAGAAAGTAGGAGCAATTAAGGGGTAATAGAGTAAGGGAGAATACGTGCAGAAGGAGAAAGGGGGGTAAAGAAAAGTGCTGAAAAACAGTAAAAGTCTTGAAGCCCTGATTAATGTCGCACAAGAGAGAAGCAAAACATTGTGTTCTTTGGAAATGCGGAGAATAATTTTTGCAATATGCCGCTGTGGGAACCCAGCACTAATTATATGACTGTGTGTGTTTGTGTGTGTGTGTGTGATTCATTGTTGCACTGGAGGAAAAGCATGTGTACATAGCCAGCACACACAGAAGCTTGTAGAGACACCACAGACACACACACACACACACACACACACACACACGCAAGCGATGCCAGGGGATCTCAGAAGAACTGGGTTCCTCCTCCTGCTGCATTATTCTCTTTGGAATGGTGTTTTTATTTCCTGGAATTGAAACTGTGTTGCATCGCCCCCGGTTATCACACACACACACACACACACACACACACACACACACACACACACACACACACACACACACACACACACACACACACACACACACACACAGTGACAGATGCCCCAAACAAAAAAGCAAACTGGAGGCCAAAATAACTACCGAGCCTGACGACAAAATACCCCCCAAAAAGTGTTGATTTCTGTCACTTTCTCACGGCGCGTGACCTCAACATAACGTTCTGTACTCTGGTGGACAGCGGCACCTCTCAGACGTCGGCAGCACTCTGAAAGCAAAAGTTTGACATTTGGTTCATATGTTTATTTGGTTAGGGAGTTGAGCTGAGACGATGAAACTACAGCCAGTTAACTTTAACTTTAACTACTTTAACTTTAACATCCAACCGCAGAAGCAGAAAATCTCACGAACCTGTAATATCTTGTAATACGTTTAATCGTTAAACCTGTGAGCGCCGCCTCCCCAGAGGAGTGTGGGAGAGATTAGAGGCCGGAGGGGGAGAAGGTGAAAGAGACAGGTGCATGCTGGGATTCCAGGAAACAACGAGCAGTTATCAGCGCCTGATTCCTGCAATTTGTGTCTGAAGAAGCACCAAAGCTCAACACACAGATAAGATGCACGTGTTTCTACATTCTCTTTCACTTTCGCTTCCTGAGGACATCATTATCTCTGAGTTATCATCGTGTTATTAAGATTTCTTCAGGATCCTCCTAATCCTGTGATGGATGTCAGTGCATTGTTAACAAAAATTGCCGATAGCGGATTTGGTGTTCTGTAGAAATATTTGTGTTGCTGTTAAACAAAGCCAAGCAAGCTGTTTTGTTTCCATTTACATCTTTGCGCTTCGCTAAGCGAACCGTACGTTCAACGAGCGCGATCAATCGTCTACCTTCCCACCGGAAAGCGAAGGCACCCATTTCCCCTCGAAATGTCTAACTGCTCCTTTAAAGTACGACAGCTGAAGGAACGATCGTGGCTGTTCCTTGTAGTCGCAGTGAATCCCCTCAACTCAGAGCAGAAAGGTCTGAGCTCGGTCTGCCAGAGACGAGAAAGCTAATTTATATAAGAATGGGATGGAGATTAAGACCTCTGAGGGTATTATGGATTTGGGGAATTAAGCATAATGGATTTCTTGTAGGGCTTTCTTTCACGAGTCCCCTGTTGGAGAGAGGTAGCTGTCTTGAGAGCAGATCTGAGTCATTCCACGGCTTGAGGACTGGCACGTGCCACCAGACAGGCTCTCATTCACCCAAAAAAGGCGCCTTTTTTTAACGTCCTTATTCGTGTAAACAGCGTCTCCACGGGATGAGCCATGGCTCCTAAACTGTCTGAACTGAAAAGCCTTTTGTCATCGCCAAGTGGATATTTATGAAGGTTTTACACTTCGATTTCACACCGCTCTGGATTTTTGAAGCGTGGATTGGTGGAAATCTTCAAATCATCGATACGATAAAAGGAGAGAAACTCACAATACACCTGAACATTGCCCAACGGTTTGTAAAACTCACGGACGGGATTTAAAACTCTTGAAAGTTGTCACCGCGGCAGCCGCTTCACCTTTTGTCGGGCCGATCGCGAGGTAAGCCGTAGACGTGCAGCAAAGTAAGCCGAGGGGGAGGAAATGTGACACAGTGTTTTGTAAACAACGTATGAAAAATGTCTCGACTGAGACAGATTGTGAAAACTGCCACAAAGCTTTTAAAATCATCGAATGCAGTCAACCAAAACGTGCATAATAAATAATCTGTAGGTTTAGGTCAAATACAGGCGGAACACATATTACTGTTAAACATGAATGAACATAGTAATCATTATTTCACACCGTATTAAAGTTCAAATTTTACAGTGTTTGCACACCAATGCTCACTGATGATTTGTGTTCACACAGGCGCACACACACACACACACGCACACGCACGCACGCACACACACATACACGCACACACACACACACACACACACACACACACACAACAATTAAATAGAGAACTAGTTCCAGTAACCTTGTATTTTGAAACACATTATTCTCAAGTCACTGGTGAGTCATGAGTTGTTTTTGATTTATTTGCTTGCCTGTCCGTCATCCTTATTGTTCTAAGGTTTATCGGGCTGTTTGAAGTAATATTAGATTATTATTAGCCACTTGGAGGCAGTGGAACCAGCGGTGAATAAAATACGGTGATATTACCAGAGAGCGTTATCTCGGTGTACAACCGTAGATAAAGAAAAGCTTTTAGAAAACATCTGATTAAACAGGAAGTCGATCAACTCCAAAATCCAAGACCGACGAAGGAGGAAGTATTTATTTATTGCAGTGGTTAATTCATCATCATTAATCGCATTTACTTACTTAGACAAGCAGCAACCACTTTGCAACGTTACCATTAATTTGTAGTGGTGTTTCTGGCTTCCTGATGACTGTTTCAGTCTGCTTCTACCTCTGGTCTCGCCTCGATTAACTACCAAGGGAAATAACCGAATCTTCCGCTGATAAATGCTTCTCTAAGTTCAGCAACTTGTTGCCATCTTTATCCCGTCTGCAGGTAGTGAGTTCATAGGAGACTTTTCACTAAAAAAAAACAGATGAGCCTGCTGCTCACGCAGGCCGATGAGAGTCACTCGACCGAAGCGTTGAGCTGAAAGCCTCATTTGAAGTTTGTCACCAGTCTGTCTGGGTGCTGTGCGTCTCTGTATGAGGAAGTTCACAGATTGTACAATAATTAAATCTCAATTACCAATAGACACAGGTTTGTTTATTAAAATATTCTTGACATTTATATTGTTGCCTTCTGTCGCACCCAAAACCTGGAACTTATCGCTGAATCAAAAAATA